AGGAAAGGGGAACAAGCAGGGAGGGAAAAGGGGAGCAGCGGGACCGCGGGTGCGGAGCCGGCACCGGGGGAACGGGCTGCGGTGCCCGGGCGGCGCCCCCGACAGGGGCTGGAGGGGGGGGCGCTGCTTTCTGCACCCCCCGTCCCGTCCCCAATAAAAAGGAGCCTCTGGAGAGGGCAGCGAGAACGTGAGCCCGACCCCTGCCCCCCGCCCCGCGCCCCGTCCCTCGCTCCGGAGGTCCCCGAAAAGCCGCGGAGGGGGATCCTGAGCGGAGGGGTCCCCGTCGCGGGAGCAACGGGGGAAAACGGCGTCCTGGGAGCGGCTGCGCGGCAGCAAAAAAAAAAAAACCTATTTATATATATATAAAAATTGCAAATATATATGTATATAAATATATAGAAGGAGGTTGATGGCGCGGAAGGGCAGCCCCGTCGCTGGCAGCAGCGCTGTCCCAGCCCTGCTACAAGATGGCTCCCAGCCGCGCTGCGCCTGCAGCGAGGACGACGAGGAGGAGGAGGAGAGGGAGGAAGGGTCGGGGCCGCCGCGCGGACCCGGGGCGCTGCCCGCTCGGGGGGGCCGGGCGCCCCCCCCCCTTTCGGCACAGCCGGGACGAGCGGGCAGGATTTTTTTTTATGAGCAAATGCGGTGATTTATGGCGCGGCCCCCCTTCGCCCGTCCCAATTAAAGCGACGTGTAGGAGCCGGGTGTGAAAACATTAAACATTTATAAAATATGCTTTTAAAGCCACATAAAAGCGATTAAGCCATTAATATATATATTATATATATTTATCCACTCCCATAGCCCCCACCCTTTTGGTCTAATAAAGAAATAAAGAATGACCCCCCCGGACGCCTGGGGGTTTGCGCCGGGCTCTGCCGCAGCGCAGCCGGGATTGCGCTCCGCGCCGCGCATATATACGCACCCCCCTCCCCCCACAAATACGCCTTACGTGCAAAATCCATACGTTGCACCGCGGTAAATAGAGCGCCCCGGGAAGCGCGCGAGCTTCCCGAGCGGAGCGCGGGGGGGCGCGGGGGGTGCGCGGCACCTCGCGGTGTCCCCCCCCCGCCGGGCAGCCTGGAAACCGCCCCGGGCGCCCGCGGGCGGCTTGAAACTCTCCCGCGGGCGGTGCTGGAGAGAATCGACTTTATTATTGTTATTATTTTTTTTAATTTAGACGTGCGGATTAAATTAGATTTCCCCTCCCCCCGCCGCTTTTATAAAACCTCTTTTTTTTTTTTTTTTTAATTAAGGGAAAACAAAAACGGGAGGGCCGGGCGGTTGAGTTTGGAGCCTCTTTTGGGGAGGGCGGCAGGGGAGGCGCTGCGCGGTCCCCGTCGGGGCTGGATTTGGGGAGGGGTGAAGGGGGTTGTTTTGGGGGGAGGGGGGCGGCGGGGAGAGACCCCCAGGGCGGGGGGTCGGCCCTGAATGGCCGCTTTGTCCGCGGCGGGGCCGTGGGAGCGGAGCCGCCTGCGCTTCCCGCCCCCTCCTCCCCGCCCCAACTTGGGAAGTGTTTTGCAGAGCTGGAAGAGAAGGGGCGGGAATGGGGAGGATGGAATTTGGCAAAGAAGGGGAAAAGGATTTTAAAAAACAGATTAAAATAAAATACAAGGAAAGGAAAAGAAATGGAGGCGAGGAGGGGGCTCCTCCCGCCGCTTTTCCAAGGGCAGCTTCCCAGAAAATGGGGAACTTGACAGCGTTTTCACCAAATAGAGCGCAATGAAAAGACTCGCAGCTACAACCAGCTTCTATTTTGATCACTCGGGCCCTGCCGGGGG